TGTCTTATTTATTTTACACCTTTTAAAAATCGTCTTATCGATTTAAAACAAATAAGACGATTTTCAAAAGGTTTAAAATAAATGAGAGAATAAAGTAAAAACATTTTTACTATTAATTTAAATAATATAATATCCAAAATTAAGTCTAGTCATATAAAAGTCAATGAAGCGACCGAGCTAGAACCACGGGACTCGAGTGGTGCCTAACACCTTCCCCTCGGTCAACAGAATTCCTTACCCGGATTTCTAGTTTGCAGACCAATAAAAATAGAGTCAAATTTCCTTTTGATTAGGGATTTAAATAAGGTGACTTGGCACACAAAAACTCAATTCCAAGTGGCGACTTTAAATAATAATTATCCCTTTTCAAAATGTCACTTTAATTCAAAAAAATGCTTTTTTATTCAAACAATAAAAATCAAAAAAAGTTGATAAAAAAAGAGGCATGACAGATGCTGACTCTAAATAGTAATTATCACTTTTCAAAACGTCACTTTAATTGAAAAAACTCTTTTTCTTTCAAACAATAAAAATAAAAAAAAATGAGAAACAAAGGGGCATGAAAGATGGAGACTCCACTGGGGATCACTAACTTGAATTCGAGCTTTAAATATTAATTTATGTATGACTATGATTTATATATTTACGCTTTTGGATATTGTATTTATTTAACTTAATATTCTAATTTTTTATTTATTTAATATTTTGATTATATTTGAATTGGATTAAAATTGTCTTCTCTCACAAAACATTTTGAGTCTTCTATAATAATAATATGGGAATTGCGATTGCGCATCCCACTTCTATCAATATAGCCAGTGGATCTTCGGTCCATGGTGAGATTTTTAGTCACACATATTTAAGATAAGGAGCACCCATGCACAAAGCCGGAAAGCGCTACTACCGGTACGTTGTTACTCCCTAACTCGAGTTATCTACTCGTGTTAAAGCCAGTCTAGATACTTTTTTCCACGAGTTTAAGCTTGGTAACTGAAACCAAATATGGTCGTTTCTAGTAGACTTCATTATTTAAATCATTTATACATGATTTAATGAAAGATTCTACATATGATCAGATCTATCTAGTATAGCTAACGCAACTTACCATTTTAAATTAAAATCAGAACAATATAAAAAAGTTTTTCTTTTACAATGTAAACTTTACAAAAAGAAATTGTAAAAGTTATCTTATATCATTTTAAACGAAGAAAAGAGTTGAATTTGTCAACAAATTTATAACAAAATTATTTAAGTGTTCAATCTGAACGAAATACGCACAACTGATTCTCACTTTGATGAGATACGTAGGCAACCTTCCTTGGGTTCGGTGATCCTTATTTAAAATAAAATCAAATCGAAAAATACCTTAATTATTATTTAAAAATTAAAATATAAAACAATATGTGTATATATTAAAAAGGGAATTTGTCCTTAAGAAAATATATTAAAAAGGGAATTTGTCATTATTTCAAATGCATTGTGTGGTGAGTTTTAGACGTAAAAATTCAATGACGTGATTTTGCTGATCTAGATTTTAGCCCGAATGTTGGTTGAGACGAAATTATGAGCAACATTTAACTTGAGAAAGTATTATAGGTTTTCTTTGATTCGATTTTGCCTTTCAGGCCTACCAAATTACATGTTATCGATAGAACTTCCATTTCGAGCCTTAAAGTTTTTATTTGAATAATCACATCTTAGCATATACATTTTGAGTGTATAAATGCACTAATTCCTTTTGTCTTACCTCCTTGAGCGCACTATGAAGTAGCTACGTAACGTCAAAGACCTAAGTTGGATAACAAAGTGATAAAAAAAAAAGAAGATAGAATGAGAAGAAATAAAAAAAATCTTAAATAAAAAAAGAGGGAGAATCAAAAAAGGAAGAGAAAAAATAAATGAGAAAGAGCTTACAAGAAAACAAAGGTCAAATGCAAAAATGAAAAAAAAAATATCAAAAGCATCGTGCAAATTCTAAGGAGAAAATATTATTTTTATCCCAAATGAATATCCTACCTTTCCCTAAGACTACATTAAAAGTCAATGACAAGTCCTATTTGATCTCATTTTTATGTTATCATATTAGTGGATGCTTACATGAGGGACAAGTATATGGTATCTTAATCTCACGCATTGAATATTTTTCTGAGTGTGAGTGACTTTCAAAAATGTCCTACGATCTAAATTATTATATTTTGTGAAGTAGAACTTTCATATGTTGAGAGTGAATTTGAAACAAGAGGATACAAATAATTCTATTCCATAATTTTGACAAGATAAATTGATCTTGTAATTACTTAAGCATATTTGAGATACAATTTGAAACTATATAAATTACTCAAAGTTGACCTCAAATTTATTTGAAATTAGTTGAATGTAGTTCATATGCATAATACTAATTGTTGGTACCAACTAAAGTCAAGGCATTATCAAGCATGAATTAATTAATTTTCCTATTTTTTCATTATATTTCTAAAAATAAATCAAAAAAAAAATTATTGAACTATATTCGACCTGATTCCTAAGAGGAAACGTAGGCAGTCCTTCATTGAGGTTCAGTCTAATCACTCAATAAAATAATGATCATGCTATTTCCAATCTCCAACGATTGAAACATGACATTGTAGCCTATTGTATGTCAAAAAAAAAGAAATTAGAAAAATAAGAGGGTCTTATGAGTGAAAACTCTCACGAAAACCATAAGACGACAGTAAAATGATAAGAGTGTCTACTTGGTAAAAAATCACGAATGACACCATTTATCAAATGATGACATTCCGTCTTGGCATGAGCACAATCAAGATAAAGTTATAGGTTGAAAGAGCTATAAAGACAAATCGTGCAAGTAATTTGCTAGAAACAAACGCCGCGATGGTAAGTTTTTGAATCCTTGTCTCTCATATAATATGCAAAAAAAATAATAAAAAGGACTATTTGTTTCTTAATAAAATCTGGGGCATTTTATTTTATTTTTAGATTGGTCAATGTACTAATAAAAATAAAATAAAATAATAATTAATAATAATATAAGTAAAAAAAATCTTGGTTGCATATAAGGTACAATAACCCTATTTTATTTTCACAGGGCACAATAACCCTTGGTTGCATATAGGGCATCATAACCCCTATCCTATTTTTCATGTCTTCACAAGGCACAATAACCCCTTGTTGCATATAGGGCATAATAACCCCTATCCTATATTTTCATGTCTTTACATGACACAATAACCCCTATTTTTTTTATTTCTTCACAGGGAACAATAACACCTGGTTGCATATAGGGCACAATAACCCCTATTCTATTTTTCATGCTTTCACAGTTCACAATAATCCTTGATTGCATATAGGGCACAATAACTCCTATCCTATATTTTCATGTCTTCACAGGGCACAATAAACCCTGATTGCATTTAGGATAAATAACCCCTATTCTATGTTTTCATGTCTTCACACGGCACAATAAAATTAAAAAAAAAGATAAAGAAAAGAACGTAAAAGAAAATTTAAAATAAACTTTCTAAAAGAAATTAAAACAAATATTTAAAAAATAAATATTTTTTTTGAAAAACTAAAATAAATAAATAAAAATTACTTTATTGTAAAATTTGAGAAGATAGAAATGTAATAAAATAATATACTAAAGATAAAAAAAAACAGAGCTAATCACAAACAAAATAAATAAATAAAATAAAACTCTAAGAAAAGAGAAACAGATTGCTGTTAAAAAAAAACATAAAAAGTAAAAAGGGTAACTAAAAATGTGCAAAAGGAAAAAATGAAAAAAAAAACATTTTTTAAAAAAAGAAATTTTCTTAATCTCTTTAGATTATTTTTTTTGCTAGGATTAATTATAAATTTCATAAAATTTAACTCTTATTTTAGATCTAATTTTTTTTAAAAAAAATACGATTCTAAATTAACTTGAACTCTAAAAATCTTTTTCCTACACAAATTCTAATTCCTAACTATTAAACACGTAATAAATTCTACACATAATAACTTTATATATATATATATATATATATATATATATATATATATATAATGCAATAAAGAAATAATAATAATAATAAAATAAATAATAAATAAATAAATATGAGTGTTTCAAATTTTGAATGGACACAAATCGAAAATAATAAGATAGTTTTCAATAGATTTAAAATAAATAAGACGATTTTTAAAAGATTTAAAATAAATGAGAGAATCAAGTAAAAATATTTTTATTATTAAGTTAAATAATATAAAATTCAAAATTAAGTCTAGTCATATCAAAGTTAATGAAGCGACCGTGCTAGAACCACGGGATTCGAGGGGTGTCTAACACCTTCCCCTCGGCCAACAGAATTCCTTACCCGGATTTCTAGTTTGCAGACCAATAAAAATAGAGTTAAATTTATTTTTGATTAGGGATTTAAATAAGGTGACTTGGAACAGCAAAACTTAATTCCAAGTGCTGACTCTAAATAATAATTATTTCTTTTCGAAATGTCACTTTAATTAAAAAATCTCTTTTCTTTCGAACAATAAAAATAAAAAAAAATTGAGAAAAAAAGAGTCATGACATCTTGGATTTAAGAATTTGTCCAAATTTAATATGGATTTTAATTCCAAAGGTTTCACATGTCGTCAACGTCATATTTCACAAAATTCAAACAAACTTAATTGTTAATTAAAATGCTTCACATCAAACCAAAAATATAATAATTCAAAAATCAAGAAAATGAACAACAACAAACTAATCGGAAATTAAAAAAAAAAAACTCAATTATACTAGTTTAATAATATGATTTATAAACATAAACAACTAAAACAATTAATTTTGATTTGATAAGTACATTCCAACAGTTATTTTCACCCTCATCAATAGTCATAAAATTAAAACTAGAATGTAAATGAGTATTTACAAACAAATAAAAAATTAAAAGAAACCTTAACCATTGAGCCTGCACGGCTTAATCGTTATTAACAAAATTGAAAAGAAAAATGTAATTTTAATTATGTTAAAATGGGTGTACATTTCTGGTTAATCCACCATTAACATTAGTGAAGAAACCAACAAGGTCCGGCCGGTAAGGAAGATAGGATCGTCGGCGTTCCTCATGTTTGGCTTTACTTCTCATATAAACTTCATGTGCTAACACAGCTTCACTCTTTTTAATGTTCTTCTTATTTTGTGTTACTAATTTCACAACTCCGTCTCCGCTGCTTTTCTCTTTCTTCTCGGTGACAACAACTTTATCTTCTTTCTTGTTAACGTTTGACATAGACGACCTTGTAGTACTAGAATTGTTGTTCAAGTATACGAAGGCATCTCTTCCGTCACTGTTACTCCTATTCATGAAATCTCGAAATCTCCAAAGCTTTGAAAATCCAGTTGAATTACTTTTTTTGCAAGTACTCTTATTTTCAGCTGAATTATTTATATTTGTTGTCTTTTTCGACCACTCGCAATAAGGTCCGGAGATTTCTTCATCGGATGTTGTTATGGGAGGATTGTTGCTATTATCTGTTTCAATGAATACCTTGTTGACAGGTGCGCGTTTTTTCAAGTGCTGGAAATCAATATCAGATAAGAGAAGATCTTGATTGAAGAGAGGAAAAAATGGTCTGATTTGACCATTATCAAATGCTTCAGCTGCTGCTACAGGTGATGTAAGTACTCCACATACAAATGAAAAATCTTCTTCAGTAGCATCAACAAGTTCAATCTCATGATCATTCTCTTCATCATCGTCCTCTTCTTCTAAATCAATTTTGGGTTCGTCTTCTTTTACTTGTAGCTTTGCCTCAAACTCTTCGGTTACTATTTCCGGATGCATTTTCTCTAAACAATCAATTTTAATGGCCGAAAACACAATTTCAATATGATTTTCCAGAGATCTAAAATAATAGCTAGTGCAATTGTGGATTGAAGTTTCAGCTTTATGAAAAAAAATGTGTAGGGAAAGGATTTGAATTAAAAGATGGGTATATATTGAGTAGTTGGGGGAAAGAGATGATGAAATTGGCAGCATTTAAAAATGGGAAGAGAGAGAGAATAAATGTTTGAAAAGTAATTAAAAAAATAATGATGTTTGGAGAGGAAGTAAAGAAAGGAAAGAGGAGCGAAAGTGACATAAAATGAAGAATATGTATACTATCTTATTCCGTTATTTTGTTAAATTTTGATTTCACATTGTTATGAAAAAATATATAGGGAATTTATTATTTTTTTCATATTACATAAGTAAGTCTCAATTATTTTTAGTCATTATATTTTTTAAAATATTGATTCAATGTTAATAAATTAGGTGTATAATAGAAATATAGTTTTTTTCTTTTCCTAGTATAATAAAATGTTAGTACATTTAAACTGAGAAATTGTGTCTATTTAGGCCTTACTATTTGTGCGCAATGAAAGTTAAACTTTTTCGTTATCCATGATTGGTGTTCATTTCGAACAGATCTAGAAAACACATTAATATTACTTTAATAATATACTTTATTTTAATTTTTAACTATTTTGTCTTAAAATTAATTCTCCATTGCATATTAAATGAGTATCTTATTATAAATATTTATTTAAATTACTTGTTTACTCATCAAATAAAGATAGATTTAATTAATTTTTTCTCACTTTATGTTCATAATAATATAACTTTTTGAAATTTAAACAAATTTTGATGATCTAAAAGTTCTTTTATGAAACTAATTATATGAATAAAGAATAAAATAGTAAAATTTATCAATTTATTAATAATTTTTTAATTACCTTGTAAAATAAATATGTTCACATAATATGAGACTGATAGAGTACAAATTATAATTATATTGAACTTTAGTTATAATTAATTAATTTTTTTCTGAGTGAAAATATAATTTCACTCAATCTGTACAACTTGTAAAAAATTATTTTTAAAAATTTAATCCAAAATTTATGATCAAATAAATATTTAAAAATAACTTTTGAAAATCTTAAAATTTTGGGTCAAACATTAGCTTATTCTCCACTCGTGCTCATTGGGAAATTATGACCTAGGAAAGGTTTCAGGATAAATCAGTTATTTAATTGTCAGGATTCAAAATTATTTCGAGTTTATTTTTATTTGTCATATTTAAATTTGATATATACATTAATAAATAATGATTAATATAATTATTTTATCACATTACTCCTATTAATGAATGTTTATAACTAAATTTTTAAAATAAAATCTATTTTGATATACTAGATAATTAAAAAAATACGAATAAAGGAAATATAATAATAGCAATATAAGCTCTTACTTTTTGCATTTTTTAATAATTGTTGTTCAATATCAGCTTTCTTAAAAGATGCTGTCTCTAATAATTATAAATAAATTACATTCCCTCTACGCACACCATAACAGAATGTTCTTAGTCAAGAATGATAGGTATGACCAGTTTTGCAAGTTAGCTTATGCAAAATCTGCAACTCCCTATGTTTCGTTTCATTTCCCAGGACACATTTTATTTTGGGAAATCAAAATATTATAGTTTAAAGTAGAATTTTGTTATAGAAGTTATAATTTTTTTAATTGAAATTTTAATATTATTAACTAATATCAGTAATATAAGTTATAATAATTGACTATTCAGGATACTTAGAAGGTATATAACAAATTATAATTAAAGATCGATTTGATTAAATCTTGAAATTCGAAATATGTCACATAAATTGAAATGAAAAAAAAATTATGTCACATTTTTTAAATTGTTTTATTAATTATTAAATTTAAATTAAATTAATATTTTAAAGTTTTGAAATTAAAATATTTAAAATTATGAACAGTTTGCTATCATTTAACTTTTTCATGTCAATATAATATACATTATAATTAAAATATTAATCAAAATTTATCATTTAACATACAAAATGAAAAATGAAAAATGAAGTATAAATATGACAAGTAAAAGGAAGTTATTGTTGTTTGAATATCAATATTCGAGTTTTTGGCCAAAAGCATCCTTCAATTATACCCAAACTTAAATTACATTCTTAAAGTATCATTTTAGCAGATATCCTTTAATTATACCCCAAACTTAAACTACATCGTTAAAGTATCATTTTCAGCAGAAAACACCTTTCAAGTATTTTAAAGTAAACAATTTTCATCCTTTTACTTGAATTAATCAGAAAACTAATTGATATATCCCACAAAAACTAAGTCGTCCCTTCCTAATTATTATTCTTAAATATGCCAAGAATATTATCCTGAACTTTTTCGTAATTGAGTTAAGAATTCTTCAAAATCTTTTAATTTGACTATTTTTTTATTCATTTTTTATTTAATTTTAATTAAAAATATTATTAGTTTAAATATGTTTCTTCTCAATTGAATATGTTAGAAATGCGACATTTATTGGAGACTTTCGACTCTAATAATGTAGAATGAAACTCAAATACGAGACATAATCAATATTATAGTCACTTTGATATTAGATTGACTAAAAAATCTATTCATTTAATTGGTTAAGAAAAAGGTAAAAATAATTAATCTCCAACTTCTTTTCTTTACGAAAAAGTCAAATGATGCTTACACCTTCCAATCATTTTTAGTTTCAATGAGCAACAATGTCTAAGATTTATTTTTAATGAACTTCTTGTAGAAAGTAATGAAATTTTCCAAAATAACTATTGTTGATAGTCAAGTTGACTACTCATTTTTTTCGTTAAAATCCTCTAATTTTTTGATAATATCTAACAAAAGGATGAAAGTTGTTCAGTTACAAATACTTAAAGGATATTTTCTGCTAAAAATAATACTTTTAAGGATATAATTTAAGTTTGGGATATAGTTAAAGAATTTTTTCTGCTAAAAATGAAACTTTAAAGATGTAGTTTATGTTTGAAACATAGTTGAATGATGTTTTTGACCAAAAACTCCCAATATTCCATTCTCTTTCTTGCGGCACATTCACCTCCAATCTAATACTCTTTCTTCCATTTATTTTTATTTGTCTATTATTTTTACAATTGTTATAAATCCATTAAATAAGTGGATAGTCCATAAAGTTTGTACATGAACAACCATTCATATTCACTAGGTTACATGAACCCTTTTGGATAAGTATGTATCTATTTATTATGATACTTAATATGGTGACCTTTGGAATGATTTCTCACTCTATAAATAGGGTTGTTCATTCACTATTGTAATATATACATATGAAACTTACATATACTTGAATAAGAACAAAGTCTTCTCCTACATCTACTTTTCTTGTCTTCTTCTTATAATCTTGATTTTACAACACGTTATTAGCACGAGTCTCTACCGGTTCAAGTAAAGACTTTCAAAGCCTCGGAGGTAAGAATTTCCTTTATTTTTAAATAATGTCTAATCTTTCTAAACTTGAATTTCTTGCTCTAGACAAATCGGAAAAAAGCTATCTATCATGGGCACTCGATGCAGAAATTCATCTTGATGCGATGGGTCTACCAGACACCATCCAAGAAATAATCAAGCATCGAATCAAAACCGTGCTAAGGCGATGATATTTCTCCGTCATCACCTTGATGAGGGTTTGAAAATGGAATATCTCACTGTTAAGGATCCTCTGGTGTTGTGGAACAATTTAAAAGATAGATATGACCACCTGAAGTTGGTTGTCCTTCCACAAGCACGTTATGATACGATCCACCTGAGACTTCAAGATTTTAAATCTATCAGTGAGTATAACTCTTCTATGTTTAAAATTATCTCACAATTAAAATTATGTGGAGAAAATATCACTGACCATGATATGTTGGAAAAAACGTTTTCCACTTTTCCTACCTCGAGTATGCTTCTGCAGCAGCAATACCGAGAAATGAGATTTAAAAAGTATTCCGAATTAACCTCACATCTCCTAGTTGCTGAACAACATAATGATTTACTGATGAAAAATCATGAAAGTCGACCTACTGGTTCTATGTCATTTCTTGAAGTAAATACGATAAATTTTCACCAATCTAAGCGTGAAAAAGGTCGTGGCCCCAGTCGTGGCCGTGGTCGTGGTCGAGGAAGAAATTTTAATCATGGTGATCGTCTTGCACTAAATAATAACATTCAACACCAGCAGTGTAAAAAGAAGAATGAAAAACATGACGTAGTGCAGAAGAAAAATTCAGACAACAAATGTTATCGATGTGGAGGAAAAGGACATTGGTCACGTACCTGTCGTACGCCAAGGCACCTGGTTGAGTTATATCAAGCTTCCCTGAAGGAGGTGAAAAATAATGCAGAAGCCAACTTTATCACGGAAGATACTGTTGAACCCATGCATCTAGATGTAGCGAATTTCTTTGAGAACCCCGAAGGAAAGATAGATCACCTGATAGGTGATGGGTCTGTGATAATATAAATATATTTCATTTTCGTCGTTTATATGAACTAGTATGAATATGTTTTCCTAGATTTGTAAATAACTAAAAGGTTGTGTATTGTTTTTGTTTAGTAATAACATTATAATGTTTATTTCTTTTATATCTTTTATCTTGAAGAATATATGGATACCTGAATGATCAATCATGAAGATATTTGTATAATTGCTAGTGGAACAACGCACGCCATATTCAAAGATGAGAAATACTTCTCCTACTTGCTTAGATGAAAAGTAAATGTTACTACAATTTCTGGTAATTCAAACTTAATAGAAGGCTCCGGAAGAGCTACTATATTTCTGCCTAAGGGGACAAAACTTGTCATAGAAGATGCTTTGTTCTCTTCTAAATCCCCAAGAAACCTGTTAAGTTTTAAAGATATTCGCCGAAATGGATATCATGTTGAGACAATAAATGAAATGAATGTTGAACACCTTGGTATTACCAAGATTG